TATTGTCTTCTGATTGGCTCGTCCCTAAATTAGAGTCTCGCTGTCCCATCTGTTGTAACCTCTCATTAATCACCTACTCTCTAAAATCCGCTGTGAACCGATCGTATGTTAGCATCGCGTGTTGAACTTGGCTCCGTTACCTTGAAGTTGCTCAAACGCTTCTGATTGGCTCGTCCCTAAATTAGAGTCTCGCCGTTTGTTTTTTTTTTTGAAGAAAAGGAGAAAAAAGGTGGTGGTTTAAATGTAGAATAATCAACTTTTTTTTATATAATTTAGTACTTTCTTGAGATTATCTAACTGAATTTGTATAAAATGTTGTATTTTTGATCGAATACTTACCTTACCAACTTCTATATGAACTTAGAAATTAGAATAAGTAGTAAAAATAATTTTAACAAATGTATTGCTAATTACTTATCAGATAATTCAATCATTTGCATATCATCATTGATAAGTTCACTTCATTTATGTTATTATATTCAAATTATGTACATTATATAATACATATGAAGTTTCTAACAACTGTAAATGTAAGAACTATTTTATAATATATTTATCTGCTTTTTTAAGCAAAGGTGGATAGTGGCTAATACTGGGATCCAGGATTCGCACCTCTTCGTTCTATTTGGGACTCGTCAGCTGAATGTACCTGCATCCCAGAGTTGATGTTCACTCCGCGACTCAAACCCGGTACCGTTCGCTTGAAATGCCGTCGCGTTATCCACTTAGCTACTGAGTCCTGATAGCTAACTGCTTGTGCAGTGGGGTGAAGTTTAAATTCACTTGATGTTGTTTTACTTGTATGTTCCCACTGTTATTTAGCACTACAAATTGATCAGTCTCATGTTGGAATATGTGAATCCTGAGCGGATGCCTCGAAAAATAGCCTTAAGTCACAAGCTATTTTTAAGCAAAGATGGACGAGTCCCAAATAGGACGACACGCACGTCCTGGATTCTATTGCTAGCCACTACCCATCAATTTGGAACATACAAGTAAAACAAGACCAAGTGAATGTATATCTGCTTGTTTCATTTCCAAATTATTTTTAATGGTTATTCAATTAACTATTAGTCAGTACTATGGTGATCAAATTATTAGATGGTTTTTGATGTGTGGACGAGAATGATAATGATTGTTTATCTGCTTAGTCAGACATGCAGATAGTCTGACAGGTGTCAGATGAGTTATATATTTCCATACCTTTATTATTTTTAGGACTCACTTATTTTTGATTGTTCATTGTTGATGGGTTGTGTCGGGTCTTGGTGTGAAAATATATTTACGTTGTGGTCAGACTAATCACGTGTTCTTGGTTTGAGTTATGTTGATGTCCTGTAGAATAGACACTGGGAGGGAATGTAGTGTAGATATTCGTCTAAGGTAAATTAATGTCCCATACGTGTAAACGTGTAAACCCAGCCGTTATAACACTAAACAAAGTAAAACCGAGCATTATAACAGTTTTAATGTAGATTTAATCATAATGTGAATAAGTAGTGAAATGAGAATTTAATAAATGTTATACAGGAAGTATCATTGAAATAATTTTAGACTGATTTTATGAAATAAGGGATGATCAAATATTTAACTTAAATGAAATTGAACTTGACAATCTTTCTCTAGTTAGCTGGAGTGGGACACGTCGGAATAGCTAACTCATCGGTCGTTACATCACAGAGTCTTCATTTCGTTCTTAGACTAGGTGAAGTGGTAATCACTTCAAACATAACACATTTACTAACTAAACTTTCTAAAAGTAAATGAAAAGCGATTTTGCAATAAAGTCACTTTAACTTCCACAGTGTCACAGAAATAGAGGCTTATTTTAGAATCAGCAATCGGCACCTACATCATAGATGCTATAAATAAATTAATTTAAGCAAGTTTCATAGACACTTTAAATCAAATATCATTATATCCTCATACAGAACAAGAAATAGGCCACAAAATGTAACCTTCATTCTATTATAAGCTTATCATTGTAATTGTCTATTAAATAATTTACAGCATAGAATTCTTATCCAGAAGAGAAAATGTGTTAAAATAATCTAATCACAAACTACAATGTGGGTATTTCAAATCTCTTGATTATACACCAATTATGAACCATATTTTGAAATAGTCATTTTAACTTACTGCACTGAAATACTTTATAGTCACAAAATAATATGCGATGAATCCATACTATTGTATCTGTTTCAAAGCCAAGTAAATAAAAAATCCTCATTATTTACAAGATTATAAGAGAATATCAAATTAAAAGAAACGTTTCCAGATGACGTTTTAGTGGTCTGAAATTTGACTCCAGGGAGATCGATTCTGATTGTTATGTGTTAGGATGTGCAGAAAAATATATCAATAGTTATCATGTTAAGTCTAATGTTGTCCTCGGACGTTAAATGTATATTTCCTATTGGTCGATATTTGCTTCACTTGTTTAATATTGTTTAAATGACAGGGTAAAAGCGTGACTCAAGAAGAACGAATAAATTGGCTTGTTCGGAAGGCATAATAAGCTATGTGAGCTTGACATAAAAACGGACACTATAACTTTGTCATCATAAAAAACGAATTGATTACATTAGAAACTGTCATTGATAACACAAAGATAAATAACGCATATGACATAAGTCTGAAACTTATCATAGAGTGTTGAACAAATATTTTTTGCAGGTATATAGCATGAAAGTTAGTAATCATTTTGAAGGCATGAGTCCTACGTTTAATTAAATGAGAATCAACATTCAACATATTCCTCCTGATAATTATTTGCATACAAATAAATACATAGTTATTTCTCCTGGAAGAAACTAAACGTTTCATAAAACTGATTGATAACACAATTAGTCTTGTTAAACAATATGAAAAATATAACTGTAAGTACTGTTATCTTGACAGAGTTATTACTCAGTGGAAAATGTATAAACAATAATCCATAAAGAGTGAATTATATTTTATAATCATTGATTATAACCCAATTATTATTCACTAATCTAGTACAGTTACGTGTAATAATCTAACAAATCTAGAATGATCAGCCGAGGTGTTCTAAAACATGACTAAATGGTCGAAATCTCTGCGACGGTGATAATTTTAGAAAAAAATGTAATTCATTAATTGATGACACTCAATATCTCCTTTATTAACTTGATTAAACAAATAGACATGTTCTTCCATTATTGATTAATTGATCATCCATTCTCAATTAATCAGAGTAATATGGTCAAACTTACCAGCTAACAATTTAACTTCATAATATAATATGTTTTAGTGTAGTTCAATGGATTGAATTATTTTTACTGGTTAGTGCTGGAAGTGTATAGGACACAAATAGAGGAAAGCACTCAACTGCACCATAAAGCAAGCCCTTACATGGAATTGTCAAGGCCAAAGGATAACAGGAAGACCAAATAACATATTACACCGAGAAATGGAGTCAAATATGAGAAGAATGAACAACAATCGGATAGAACTAGAAAAGAAGGCCCAGGATAGAGTGGGTTGGAGACTGCTGGTCGGTAGCCTATGCTCCATTGGGAGTAACAGGCGTAAGTAAGTAATTGAGTGATTTCAATGATGGTCAGTATTCGAGTTTAGGATATGCGTTTTATTCTATTTGGGACTCATCGATTGATTGTACTTATATATCAGTGTTTATTCCTGCACTATGGTGTGAATTCAGTACATGTTGTTTAAAACTTTAGTGAATGAGTCTCAGTGTCAACATTAGGACTGTAATTCAGTTAAAAGTGGTCTGAAATTTGAAAAAGAACTTCTTAACAAGAACGTGGTCATCAATCATGTTCATAATTTTATTATATTCAACCCGATAAAAATATTTGCATCACACTTAACGTGTGAAGAACAAACTGACTTTATAAACTGTACAACTCACGTTGTCATTCTTACCTTTGAGTCAACAAAACATAGGTCATTTTCATGGTGTATATGATCATTCAGTTAATCAGTTATAGATTTTAGTCATCAACCTTGTGTCAACTATCGTAAAAATCCTGGCAGCAATCGTTTCCTAGTTAGAATAAGTGTACTAGCTAATACAATTCTGTTCTTTAATATTTTGTATTAAAACTGTATCTTAACAATGGTATATAGGGAAGTAGTTTTTACTGAATTCTCTTTATTTTTATTCAATGACACAATGGGTTATACTAAATCTGAAAAAAAGTCAATGGATATTTATTCATGGATCATTATTAAACAAACATTGTGTAATAGAACATACAACATCTAATTAATCAAGTCATTGTAAATTTGTTAGAATTTGTTACTTTAATTAAATTTCTCATTTTAACAAATTCTGAAAAAATAAATAGTATCATCGATTTCATCATAAAATTAAGAAAATCCCTCTCATTATTATTGCTATTATTATTATTACCATTACTATTATTACTATTATTATTATTATTATTATTGTTATTATTATTATTACTATTATTATTATTGTTATTATTATTATTATTATTATTATTATTATTATTATTATTATTATTATAAAACTACTGTTGTTGTGAACTTGTTCTCAGTTTTATTTATTACCTCAAAACTTTTGTGGTTTATGGTACTTTTATGATACACTATCATATACTCATTTACAAAAAAAAAAGAAAGAAATTTTTATGTATAACCCTTCAATGTTATATTAGAAGATAAACATATAAGAACAATATGTGTCTATATTTCCAATTAAATGAGTTAAAAGTGTAAACAAACAATTTTTTTTTTGAATATGTAAATAAATAGTTGTGTTCAATGGAATACCAATAAAATTAAGGTCAAAAGCATCTGAACAATTGTTGATTATTATATTCTTTATATATATATATATATATATATATCAATTAAATTGAATCTAGTAGAAGACCAACAAAGATATTGTTATATCATTGACAAAATAAATAACATTTTAATAAAATACCATTCATAAAGAATTATACTCGTTACAAAATCATAAACCATTGACAGAATAATAATAAATGTTTCAGTGTAAGCAAATTAATGGTAAGTATTTTTCAATTACTGAATTTAATCTATTAGTACTGATAATGAAATTCATACTGCATTAATTCTCTGGATACTTTTTTTTTATCATATTATGATAAAATGTAATTCTTAGAGTTTTAGTGAACTGTAACCAGTTAAGTTTAATCCGTGTTGGGTATGAAATAGCCATCCACTGCAGACAACGAATCATGTTTAAACAATATCGTGAGTTGATTGAAGTGAGACTTGCTAAGTGATTTTTAGGTTAAGCATTCGTGTACGAGATCGAAGGTTTGGAATTAGATTCTTGCGTGTGATTTCTTTTAATTGAAAATAAACATAAACGGAATAACTTTAATGATAAGTCACATGAATGTGATCTTGACAGTATTTTTCTATTTGTGAGTAGTTTTCATTACGGATTCATGTCATTCGAAGAACTATTGAAAGCCTGCGTCTTTTTTACCAAATTCTGAGAGAATCTTCGTCATCATCAACATATTATTACTCAAAACCTATGTCAAAATGTAATGATCAGTTTAAAAGTTCGAATACCATCGAATAAAGAATCAAATACACAAAATTTGGCCTGGATTTCTTGATACACAAATCGGTACAACTAAAAAGAATCTAGCAATAATGTACAGGCAATATATTATATACTTACAACAATATTTATTTTAAAAGGCTTTTTGAAATCTTTAATTCATAATCTCACAACAAGAAAATCGGTTCAATAATGTTGGTTTTTTATGAGAACGACACTCTACACAAATGGCTATTTCTGACAACCTAGATAAAGAAATCCAAATTTTTCGTTATATTTTAATCGTAGATCGAAATTCAGTGGTCACTACTACTACTCAAAATAATTTGTTTTACGATAAGTTACAACTGGTATGATTTTATTATTTTCCTTACTTTGATACTTTCTTCTTGAAACTCATAATATTAAATGATTTGAAACTATACCTATTCGATAAATGTCAAGGATATGATGATTTGAAACGATTTACAGAATGATTTACCATCATCAGAGATATTATTTAAATTCATATGATATTAAACAAATGTTTCGTAAGGCTGAAGGATGATTCTAACAACTGGCAACTTTCAATAATCTTTAAAATAGTAAACACGGATAAATTTGTTTTAAATTATAAATATCCCTTTGTTATTTTTGAATTTTTAAATGTTATTTTTAGTTAATCTTATAAAGACATCAGTGGTCATGTTTTCCAATGACTTATTTTATGTTGATCAGTTAAAAATGTATTTAGTCATAACACGTTTGTAGTTAAAGAATATATGATTATTAGAAATTATCTCTTGTTTTCAGAAAGTGGTACATTTTACATAAGATAAACTTGAATTTTTTAGCGTAAAGATATGTGTCATCAACTATTCTTTGAAATGAACATCAAGTGAACTTTAACACATGTATTAAGTAATTCAAGAATAATATTAGTTGTCATTTTGAAACTTCTTTTGTATTTGAGTAGTCATTATAGATTTCATCAAATAAGATAAAATATTCCTATATATTAAAATATATTGTTTACATATGATATTTTATTATCAGGTGTAAACAATTCAGTAAAGTTATTTGGATTATGCTCTGTATGTATATGGACTTTATTCATCATTTCAAAACACATTATTAATAATCGATCGGAATTAATACAACCAATTGATAAATTAGAAGAAATTCCAAAATTATCTACTGATACTGATTTACGCAATCTACCGTTGATATTTATTGGTGGTCATCAAAGTTCAGGTAAGTAATTTTTATTATAATACTAGTTATATTTTTTAAATGGTAGTACCATACATATTACGTTTACTGGTGTGGTGAATTTAGATTACCACTATATTTAGTATGACATTATATAAATAAGTCATTCATTTACGAGTAGTGCTATTTGCACTTACTTATTAAAACCTAGTAATTTACACCCTATCTTTAAGAAAGAAACACTAATTGATAATTTACAAAGTTTGAGAAATGATGGAGTATGTGCTTATAAGTGCCAACAGTTTTTTTCCATTTAGGTATTAAAAAATGTGTTTATTATATGATTAGTTTTACACACATTCCTTTAGTTAGATTGTAAATGGTAGTTAAACATTAGAAATCTACTACATTCGACCCTAAGAAACGAAATCAGTTAATTTATAAACATTTAAAACAATTGTAAAAGTTTATTAAGCTCAAATTTTATATACATGAGCAACGGAAGTCACCACTACACTTAAATTATTCAAGTTAATTGTGTCTGTTTAAATTAAGCTGTTTTAGCACGAAGACCTTTTTCTAAACGGAAATTTAGGAATAATTTCACTGTTTATCCAATTTACTACTTATAAACGTCATATCTTATTAGTGACTGAGGGTGAATATAATACTTCTAGAAGAATTTGTATTTTAAGCATAATGAGTTAAATAGCAGTTAATTAGCTCAAATGTGGTTTTCTTTGTCTGAATTACAGTAATATTAACATAGTATAGCGATTTCTTTTCATTAACTCAAACCGAAACCGAATGTTTCAGTGTTACTAATAGAGTATAACTCTAGGAAATGGAATTCTCCAGATTATCCTATTTGCATTAACTGGTATGAGTATTTTAATGCTATAAGTGATTAATAATAAAATTTCTGTTATCATTATAAATTCTGGAATTCACTGCATACTTCCCATCAATTTACAGATATGATCAGGTTGATACAACAGAAATAACACTAAAAACATGAGAGTAGATTATTTGAACGGACGTTAGTAAAGTATTTTAACTGGATATTTTTGACAGAGTTGTTAATAATATTCATTATGTGATGCATAATCAGAAGTGAAAGAAATTTCAATAATAGTTGTGAATTTTGTGATCATAGTATTAACAGTAATAAACAGCATAAAATAAACTACAGGGAGCTAAGAAAGTGAAATATCTTGAACATTATGTATGTTTTTGTTTAGTAAATGTTTCATTTTTCGTTTGGAAAGAACATTATATAATTTCATCACCAAAGTCCAGATTGATTTTCCTATTACTTTTGTGTTTAATAGTTAATGAGAGTCATTATTACTGTTTAGGACTCCAATGCATTAAGAGACTATAAAATGCGTTCAGTTTTCTGAAGAGAACTTAGTTTCGTAAAGTAGCATTTACATTTGTGGTCATGTAGTATGTTGTGTGCTGCTGATGTCGATAGATATATGTAGTATGTATCATTAATCGAAAGTGAAATACCCGGTGTCAAAAGGTTAAAAAGATCGAAGGAAAGAGAACGAGAACAGAGAATGATTGTTGTGGAAATGAAGGAACAGTCATGTCTTAGACGACTGACTGATATGTTGCAAATGAAATATTTGCTGTATAGTTCTCAGATTTTACTAAGAGATTTTGTAAGTTTGTGTTCAAATACATTCGATTGTCCCCACTTGTACTCTCGTTCACCACAGTAGAACAAAGTATTGTATTCAAACAAGTACATGACTTTTTCGTTATTCTGATGAATGATTTTTTTCAATAGACCTCAGAATCTATGTAGGCAATTTAAAAATAATAGGTTCCTGAAATTAATATAATTTGAAATGAAGATAGATATTGGCTAGCAGTAGAATCCAGGATGTGAGTTTCACTCTGTTTGAGATTTATCAACTGTATGTACCCACACTCTTGCTAAATTTTTACTCCACGAATCGAACCCAGTACCTTCAATCTTAAAAACTGACACATTACCCACTGAACTATCAAGTTCGAATATCGACTAAATTGTGTAATTGTAATAAATATTATTATTTTATTTGTAAGTGTTTGAATCTTCCCACTTTTAATATTGATTGCCGAATTTTGACCAGTACTAGATTTGATTGAGTCTTGGAGTGAACATCAACACTGGGATACAGGTACATCTAAATGATGAGTTCTAAATGGAATGTAACACGCGTCCCGGATTCTGTTGTTGGCCACTATCCATCTTAAAATATTTGTGAGTTAGTGGTGCTATTAAGGTAATTCGCTCGGGATGTAGATATTCTAAAACTGACTGATAAAAACCCAGTCCTTAATATTAACAACAAGACGATTCAAAAACCTATAGACAGAAGATGATAATAAATATAATTCAGTTGATGAAATTGATAAAACAATGAAATTAATTTCTCACTACACATGTCATTTAACTTGTTATCAACTATGTTAACACTTACAAAACTAAAAGTATTTTTCATTCATAAATAAACTTTTCTAAACAAAATCTTTTTATGACAAATGTCGAGACATATTAGATTAATCAATTATTTGGTTTATACGGCTCATACTTACCTTGGAAAATATTTGGGTTTTTATGCTAATCGACATGAACATTCTGCCATCTGTTTAGACTAGATTTTATCTGCTATAACTATAATTAATTAATTGTACAAAAATTTATTTTCAACTATTAACTTAGAGTTTGTAGGTGTCATTACCAAGGTTTGATTAGATAATTTCGAATAAATTGAGCATTGGGTTCATTGTTATAAATAAAAATAATATAATTTATTTATTCTCTGAAGAAGTGACTTACACTAAGTCACGAAACGTCAGAAAATCCAATTTTCTACTCATTGGGATATTACAAATATATTATTTTTATTAACTTAGAGTTATCCATATGACATTAGCAATGTAAACGCTTAACTTTGAACTAAAACTATAAGTCCTACGTATCAATATATGTTTTAAATAAATTTATTCGTAATGTTTAAATTTCACTGATCGTATGCTAACTTTGTATTATTTACAGGTTTGTGTTTAATTTTACATACTATCATAGCTGATTATTTGAGAGGACATCTATGATAAGATAAATGTTCTTTGACCACATCGATAGCTAAGAGTGAAAATATTTTCTAAGTTTTTTTCTAAACTTTATAAGATCTTCTTGAAGTAAGCTTTTAGTATGCCTGCAAATTTAATGAAAATTTTTGCTTCCTCAGCTATTTAGTATAACTTTATGTCACTTAATAATTATTCTATGAACAACGGATGAATTTTATCCTGAAATTTTAATTAGCTAAATTGTATTTCATACGCAATTTAATGAATATTTAAGCAATTAACTGGATGCGCACTGCTGAGGAGTCCCATACTAGGACGAAACGGCCGTCCAGTGCTTCTAGGTTTTCCATGGTGGTCTAGCTTCAACTGACTCATGATTTCAATCCGTGAAATTAACTGGAAGTTTGTACTAAGAAATACATAGTCACATTACCAGTCAAACAAAACTGATACTTCAAAGAATTTTTTGTGTGTTTTTTGTGTGTTCGATGACCTCATAACATTGTATGCATATCTAGTCTAATTCTCTCCACTCCAGAAATCAATTACGAGATAAATTGGGATCGAATATCAGTCAAAATGCATAAATTTGCAGTGAGTTGTTGTTTGACTGCGTTTACAACCAGTAAATGAACTGAGAAATTGATTAGTAAACACATAAACGGCCCCATACATATGAGCATGTGCATAATTATTAAATGGTTGAATTACAGTGAGATTAATGTAAATATATTGACCTTCGTTTGACCTAATTTTATCAGTTCTCTTGCAAACAGGTTATGTGTGAAGCGTAATACAAGTTGGAATGATATATTTAACGGTTAAAACATATGGAATGGACTAAAGTTAAACTTTAATAGTTTCTGTCCAGCAAGCCAAAAAGGAGACTTGATTAGAACGCTTTTCCATCGTGTCAGATTTTGTTCAAAAGAAAGCACTGATGAGGAATGTGCCACTGTTGAACGTTGTACATGAGATAATGTTTGCTCTCAAGTATGGGAAGACTAAGTAGGAAGAAATGGAGCATCCTATGGTTGTTGCGGAACTTTCCTCATGGCAATGATCATTTATCTTCATTCGTATCTGATCTTTACTCAGTTAGTTAACTTTGTTTCAAAGATTACATGACAATAACATTATTTCACTTTTAAATAATTTTGATGCTTTACTCGTAGTTTTTTATTCTAGAATATTCTTATATTCAGCCTATAAATATTCAAATCATTTAGCATATAAATAACTCTTGCAGTTCTTCCATACTTATTTCTCTTTGCATTGATCTACACTGACGAGAACGTTTCCGACATTATGGTGTCAAATATGTTAACTGATTTGTAATGATTAATACTATTATGTTTATGTTGAAAGCAGCTGATGAGAACTCGTGTTATTCTGTTACATCGATTGTTCTTTCTTTGGTCAAACTTAACATAAATCATTGACATAACTAAGCTTTTTATAATAATTCTTCTGGCAAGTTTATATTATCGCTTATTCTTTTCACCTTATTTATTAGGTACTGGATTATTACGTGTTCTACTGGATGTTCATCCAATGGTTCGATGTGGTCCAGAACCAGTAGTTACAAGAGAAATATTAAGACTCAGGCCGAAGAATCCAGACGATCAGGATTGGCTTTCACAATCTGGTATCACACAAAGTGTACTTGATAATGCTATTGCTGGTTTCATTGTATCAATACTGAAGAATATGGGACCACCTGCTGATAGATTATGTCATAAAGATCCTTCATCTTACATATATCTAAGGTATTTAAGTGAATTATTTCCGAAAGCTAAGTTCATTCATGCAGTACGTGATGGAAGAGGAGCTATAATGTCTACAATAATGTACGTTTAATCATTTGTGTATGCGCATATATAAACGGAACACATATCCATCATTACTGAAAAACGTGTAAACTAAGACACGTCAGGAAGGATTAAGTAATGTAATTTTAATTGTAACTCAAGTGTTTATACACATGGGGTTCATCGAAATTTGTTACTGAAGAATTATAATTCACAATGAATCAGGTCATAATATTCGTCGAGATTTGTTATACTAGGGCAGTTCTCTACAATAACTTAACTGATAATGCTTTTTCTATGAGATTAATTCATCCAAGAATATAGTCTCTTGATCGCAAATATTTAGTTAAGAGGGAATGTTTCTGTAGAGATTTTTATGTAACTAGTTTTTTTTTACGATTTACAAGTTTTAATCTTTGACTGGTTAATAATTCATCTGTCAATGAAGACATGAACGTGTTAAAATTTATGAATATAGCTTGGTGTTATTATTTTTTTTCAGCCGTAGAATAAATCCAACCTATAATTCGGATAATATACCTGATGCACTTAACCAATGGACGGCTTATACATCACAAATGATAGAAGACTGCCAACACATTGGAATTCATCGATGTATGACTGTACGTTATGAGTGTCTTGTCATAAAACCGAAGAGAGAGATTCAAAAAATCCTTAGTAAGATTCAACTTGACCACATGCTTATATGAATATTTTACAGATAACTATGCTAAAAATACTACTTTGATTCACATGAACAAAAAGTTTTCATTAGAAAGGCGTGAAATAATAATAATAATGACTTTCCTTATTTTATGTCTGATAATGAGGGATGATTTCGATACTAAAATGAATTCTTTTCTTATATTTGATTCAATATGAGTTTTGTAATGAATTCTTTGATAATGTTATTTAGTCTAATCAAAAGACTAATTTCACCATAAAATGGCTTTAGTTACGAAATCTAACAGCTTTTAAGGGATTGAATCAGTACTGAAATATTTAAAAAGTACACACTTATAATTCGTTATCCTAATATATCAAACTTCATTAAGAAATAAAGATGAGAGGCTAATCTAACATAATCAACTACATCTTGATGTAAATATAGAATTTAATGTTCTTTTTTCACTGTCACAGAAAACGTTGTTATCTTTATAATTATACGTTTAAATCTAACGCTTCGATTTTTTTAAAGATTTTCTGGATCTTCCATGGGATGAAAAACTACTGAATCATGAAAAATATGTTAATGAAACTTCTATGATAAATAAGTAGGTTAATAATAATCTAAATTATGATCAAATAATTTCGTTATTAAATAGTTGTTAAACAGTTGAATATTGTTGGTCTGCGTTCATTTATATGCAGTTTATTGCTGGAAATCAAAATTCGAAAAACCTAACAAAAGTAGTGTTAATGTAACTTTGTGTTATTATTTAAATTAAGCTTTGAATTATAAATGATCGAAGAAAACGATATACATGACTTTACTAACCAAACAAAATTAGGTGGGAGCAAATTTAAATCTTCATTCAACAGACAAATGTTAGTAGTAAGACAAAACAAAGATGTATATAACTGCTCGTTAATCTTTTCTGAATAAATTCTAAATCTTTGGTTGACTATAATAAACAAGCTTCAAAGCTTATCGACTACTCAATCACATCAAATCAGTTAATTATTTATCTTAACTATACCTGTTACCGATCAAGTAGTACCTTGCGTAGACAACTGTTTATAAATATTTGTACATTTTTTGGTGATGGTTGTAGTAGTTCTCCACGTTTCAGCTCCGTATAGAAGGACTATCTGGACGTTCGTATTGAAGATTGTGACTTTGATATTGGTTGACTGATAGAAGTTTTGAGTTGCATATGTTTCACAACTGTGGGGATGCTGCTCTTCCATTGCCAATCCTCGCCTTTACATCTGCATCCGATCCTCCTTGTAGGTCGATGATGCTGTCCAGATACGTGAAATATTCCACTTGTTCCTAAGTTTCTCCATCGAGTGTGATTGGTTGGTGTTTTCTGCGTTGTATTTGAGGATCTTGCTCTTAATCTTGTGTATGTTGAGGTCAACTGGTGCAGAGGCTGCTGTTGTGTGTGGTGGATAAAAGGGCTAGATCATCTGTTAAATTCAAGTCGTCTGGTTGATTTCGAACTGTCCATTGTATTCCATGCCAGGCTGTTGGATTTCTTTCTTTGTCCTTGAGTGGTCGTTCTGATTTACAAAATTTCTCTGCTAGTTTCTTCGTTGTGTAACATAGTTGTCTCACTTTAAACATCATATCAGTGGATCACCGATAATTTGTGTTCACTAAACATTCAAGGCACTTATATTGTGATTTACCTGAATTTATTAGGATCAAGTTGATCTAGCTGCTCTGTTATGCTAACCGTCTCCAGCGTACCAAAAGCCTTCATCGTTCGGATTATTCAACACGACATTATGTGTACATTGATCACAGATAACGAATAAATTACCGTTAGAAATGTCATTTGCTGTTTATTCACTCTATTTATTGAAATTCTACGGTACTAAGTGGATCATTACACTAATAATAACTTGATTTGTTCACAATGCAACTTTTTATTTGAGAAACACGTAGAAAGAAGAGAAAGTGGAAACTTAGGTTATTAGAATGGATTAATCTGCTGTCAATTGTCATTAGCTGAGACACCATTGAAAAGAAATGGCATCAAATGATTGTCGTGATAAATTTGAAGCCCACAGTTTAAAATTAAAGGGATCACTACAAGACTTAGAGTCAAAGCTTTGCACTCCTGAAGAATATCATATTAAGACCAAATATGCTCAGTTTCTTGGGTTTTAATTGCACCCTAAATTGTATCCATCTGGGATCAAAACCTAACTACAAATAAAGTAAAATTAACCTTGATATTTAAAATCTGGAAGTATTTTGAATTAATGCGTAGAACCATCTAGTTGACGACTTAAAGCCACAGAGCACTGCCGACTCCAGCTTAGTATTCAAAAGAACACAGAATATACATCTATTTATATAGTCATACATACAAACTGACCTACATATCCACATCACATTCTGATGGTTCATATGAGAAAACTTGAACTAACTCTTATTACCTGATATTAAACTAATAGTCAAATGGTGATTCTTGATGACAAATTTCTCTGCATTGTGTGATAGATATTTTCTTTTTTTACCTATCATTTCAGATACGAAGCCAGTTCAGTTCAATTTGTTAAGGCTATACACAAAGAATCTTTATATGCTTGGTCTAATAGTAATTCAATAATACCCATAAATCTTATTACAACTATACATAAGAATAATAGTCTATTAGCTAGACTTGGTTATACCAGTGGAAAAATTCCTCCAAATTATGAAGAAGTGTGTGAAGTTGATTTAAAATTGTAAATAAGAAAACCTAATAGGAATATCTTATTTCTTTTGTTCGTTTATTTATTAATATCTGTAAATTATACTTGTAACCATATAGATTTATTTTCGATGTGTTTCTTGATAATGATTATTGGACAATAATTCTACATGATTTGATAATGATATTTAGGGTTATAACGTTCGCGAAATTGCAAATATACCATACCGGGAAACGTTATTTTTCTCTGTAGGATAAGTGTTAATTCAATTCAAACGACAAAACCATAAGTGTATACTAGCAATGAAATGAGTACGTTTAAGACTACAAATTGAAAATTTAATTGTAACTCACGTAAATCTTGAGATGATCAGATAAATGTATACAATAATATGACTATTTATTTTTTCTTAGTGGTACAACTTAAGTAATTTACATGATAATCAGGTTCCAGTCAAACTAGAAATTGATTTTATTAGAATTAGCACCAGATAAAACCTCATACGGCGAAGCAATGTTTAAACTCTTTTTGGAACTTGGTGTTCATTAGTGGAATAGTAGAGTAGTGATAGCCATTTCAACGTTTACAAAATACGGCTACACTCCATTAAATGTATAATACTATCATTCAAATCACTATCCAATTCAACTGAAACCTACTTATCGTTTACCTTCGAAGGCCGAGAGCATTTAGTTATGAAACATGGAAATTAGCCACGAACAAAACGTTAATAAATGATTTTTATCATTAATCAGTCCCACCAACCATTAATCAATGTTCAAACTGTGCAAATGTTAACGTTTTCAAAGGTATGAAAAAGCGAAATACGTTCATATATACATGTATTATATGGGTTCATGGCTCCTACCAACGGCTGTTAAGAAATATGAGACAACTGCTTACAACCAACTAATATCAAAATCGCTGTTAGTGTCCAGTACAATTTGATATTCATGTATGAATGTTATTACATTTCAAAACACGCGAAAAGCATTTCTATCAATGTCTCAAATAGTACAACAAATAACACACGAGAAAATCGCTTTAAACAAATGGAATATTTTATTTTCAGGATTACGGAAACACATTAACTAAGCAAAATGAGTATGCCTGCCACATTCACATAGTATTTGTAAGTGTGGAGTTTAAAGTACAGGATTTTCGTGAGTGATGATCGAAACATTTATCAGGAAAATAATTTAGCCTAAAAACAATGTCCAAAGCATCGAAAAGAAATGATGAATCGATTATAAAGGATAAAAAATCAAATCATTCATATGAGTATTAGATGGCAGTGGATTATAACGTATCCAATGATTTACGTCAGTTGTATAATTTATGCACCTTGTAAAATGAGTATTTGATGAAATTTCATGTACGTTCATCGAAAAAATTAGTAACCCAAGTTAAACAAATCAGTGGTTTCTTAGACAGGTGCCACGTTTTGTTTTGACCGCCACTAACTTCTCCCAACCTAAAAGTTGAAGAGCAAATATCGCGCACTGGTGGCTAGATATACATGATACATGTTTCAAACAACATAATCGAAGGAGATTCAATCTTATCAACCGATTTACATCATCGCCTAGTACACTGTGTCAAACTTCATCATTGCTTCATTGATGGTCCCAACATACGTGAGCAATGCTTTGAAGACAACTACGAATATATTTAACATTTAAAAGCCATGTTCCACGGCCGTCAGCTAAAACAATGAAGAGGGAATTATCTTCATAAAAAAGCATATACCTAGTTAAATTTAACCATGATTTGTAAATAGGCAGAGAACAACCGAACTACAAGAACTCCGTGGAAATAGTTCAAATTTATTGAATTTGAAATTGCTTAGAATAATGTTTGGGGATGACAAAAACTTTAAATACATCGAACATAGGTCGTTAGATGAAAAGGAAGAACATTGGATAAAGAGCAAATACAAATGCAATAGGTTCTCACACTTTTGCTGATACTGCCTTTTAGAACTCAGTTTACGTAGAAAAAAGACCAAGAATACAGCTGGTTTACAAAGAATGAACAGAATGCAATTAAAAATACAATTATGTGGAAATGCTTAGTATTATGTCAAACTAAAATCTGAGAACGCTAAACTCTTTCTTGAACAGATGTTATTTCTTTGACTCAGAATGATCCGTTATAGGGCTGAGACGAGCAACGTTTTCAAGCTGAGTACGTGTACTCGATATAACATCGGTAGTATCCGCCACTATAATGAAAATACACGTAAGAAAATTTTTTAAAATTTAAATCAAATTTCAAAGAATTGGAAAATAGGATAATAATGAAAATGCGGTAGATAATAGAAATTAATTCTCCATATATCAATAATACAGAACGATATAAATCGATAGTAATTCATTTTAGTCAGTACAAAAAGTTACTAGTAATTTATATTGACTGTGAAAGTTCATTCGTACATATCCAATATGAGTAAATTGAACCTTATCACAGAATACATTCCCAAATGAAAGATGTAATTAGTATATTAGTTTACAACGATTTATAGGTTATCTCTTCCGTTCGTACACAGATAAATCGGTAAGTCTAATTACTAAAATTATGAATGCTTGACCTCATTCAATAGCACTGTCGATCAACAATATAAAATTATGGACAGATTAATGATTGAATAGGACCAAAATATTAGTGTAACAAATATTGTCTCATTTATTAAATAAATGAACGGTGTAGTTGTTTCACCGATCTAAGTTATAAAGTAAAAAAAATGGTGAATGATAATATATAAATCCCAACTTACAATTTTTCGTTACAATATCTACATTTTGTAATAACTGATGATATTTACGACGATAATATTTTATTTGACTTTTTAATTTTTCACGTTCACTTGAATTAAGTGATGATTTTACTTCTAGTGGACATGTGTTTACATCATCTTCTTTTCTGGTCAAGTTACATGCATTGTTTACACTTTCTGCGCCTAGGCATTGGATCCAATCGAGTAATTGACGAGAATCTCGTAAAATACTTTCAATAACATGATTATCAAACAGCTGAAAAAAATTCCCCAAGAAAAATAATTAAGATATGCAAAAATATTACAAAGTGATAAAAAGAACAAATCAGGATACAAGTGTGATTTAAATGAAACACGAAAAGCCCAGTCGATTAAAGTGCCCAGCAATATGAAGGTGAACATCGATTAAAAAGACACGTTAACACAGAATCTAGTAAACATATTAACATATAGAAGCTAAGTATAATTCTAAATTAAAAATTCAAGAAACAGGGGTACGTGGATATTAGGTTGACGAAAACCGAATAAAGTGATGTATCTGATTTTTAGATTTTGCTTTTAAGTGTTGGAAACTTGGGACATAACTATAATGGAGTTTTAAAGTTGCCATGCTGTATGGATTACATATGCAGCTGACTGAAGCAGAATTAACTTAAAAGAAAGTATAAAAGTGACAGACCATGACTAGTCAGCAAAGTTATAAACTGCCGGTTTGATTAGAATAAGGTGTAAACCTAGTGATAAATCTTCAGAATAACAAAAGTCAACTGTTCGAGACTCTAAATAAGTATACCAATCATATGTGCTCCCATTATTCCTGTAGCACATTCCTATTGATTCCTCATTTTCTGTTCAGTTCCTTTTCATTTAATTTAACACATTCTACATTTATTCTTTATTTATTTCGTTATGAAATTTAAAACTTGTAACCAATGTACTTTACAGTGCAATACATCTGACTGTTTGTCAATGCATCAGGTTCATAAATTGGGCTGCAAGCACTGGTTACCACAGGTAAGCATACAAAGAACTAGTAAACAAGATGAAAACAGACGCATTAATTAAAGAACATTGACTTATTTTGAAAAAATATCCAATTCAAAAACTTTATTCAATAATACGACGTACATCATTTTGATTGCATAGACTTTCCAATCTTCTAATAATACTAATGAGCAAATCAATTGACTTGTCAACATTAACTGTAAAACAAAGGGATAGTAAACTTTTGGTTGGCAACGAATCACGAAAATCTACGACAAATATTCAGTAATGAAAAATGGAACTTTTAAAATAGGTATTATAGATGAAATGTTCAGTAGAAACAGGGATCAAGGATACAATACCTTCAGAGAAAACTACTTTCTTGTAATAGTTATTTTCTAAAGAGAAGTTATTAACAACAGTGAAGTAATCGTTGAGATATCAATAATCAATGTACCTCAAAGAGTAAAACTAAACAGCTTAAACACTTCTTTCGTTCATTAATGATTAGGTTTACAAAACAACAGACTGACCATTCTTTTTGTACTAGTGATTTCAGTGTTTATAACTATATATTCAGAATAACAGAAATCAGGTAGGTATGTTATCAAAACGTTTATGTGTTCATGAATGATTGGTAGTTTTTCAACTAAATGGGCATTTGAAAATCCAGATACATTTAACATATCACCACAATGAACACAAAAAATGATAGATCAAATCGGCTCACCTGATAAAATTTTTTGACTTTTAAGAGAACATTTTCCACATTGATTAACAAGAGACATACGTAAATGATCGATTTTTGTTGCATAATAATGTAGCCTTACATGAGCATAATGAAGAGACTGAAATATGTTTGGAAGAAAATAGAATGATACAATCATTTCAAAATGCTAAATCAAAATAATATTAACTTTTTGTACAATGAGACAAGGAAATGTAGAAGAGAAATAAAAAGTACGCTGAATAATCATGAATAACTAATGAATAAAATTGAATCTGAATAATTATATATTCAATCAGGTATATTTCTAGGACAATAGTAAAATAAATACGTAGTGCTTGGACACAAATTTAGTATCATGTATCATCCCAGCTCGGAAGCTATTTATGGGTGCACTGAGATTTGATAGCGAAAAATTTCCACGCTGAACGACGTCACAACGATTTAGTAGACACAATCAGAGCAATGAACACCAATATTCGTTTGGTTGTGTGAAAGTTGAATCAACAAAGATTACTTAAGAGAAGAGTGACTGTTAATGAAGAATGTT